ATTTAATTTTTAATGAAGAATTGGAAGGCTAGTATATCACTGTTAAATACTTATAAGAATAGTCAATATAAATTATATAAATAAAATATATATTATTATTGATTTATTCTAAATACATTTAAAACATGAATACATATATGTATAAATAATTTTTAGAAGTAAAGTAATATCAATGATAGAAAATCCAAAAACAATAATAATGGTACCTTGGGCCGCAGTAATCTTTAGTATAAAAATAAGCCCATTAAATTTGTATGATATCCATGTTTCCAATCAAACTCTTAAAAAAATTTTATTCATGTTTCCAAACACTTTATTTTTGTACTTCAGCTTTAATAGTATAGATGTAAATCCAAATTGAAAGTTCCTTAATTAAGAAATTTTCGACTTGGGTTTCCGTAAGGGCATCTGTAATCGTGGATTTGGGGTACTCGAATTCCAATATTAAATTGTAATTATTATTTTTTGTTTATTTTTAAAAAATAATTAAAAAATGGGTCAATCGTGGGCCGTCACGTATCATGGAGCCCACGACACAATAACGAAAACAACTAGGATCAATCCTTATTTTAGGATTTTTCGGATTAGTCCTAACAAATTTTGTGCCCCACACTAATATTTTAGTATTTTTTATGAGAAACAACTAAGGATTTTGTGATGTTTCTCCCGTTGCGTTGCATGTGCTCTAAAATCCTTAACCCACAATTATATACACATATATAATATATATATGTATATATATATATAAATAATTTTTTTAAGGATTCAAAAATAGGACTCTTCAACAATGATGCTCTTATAAATATACCGTCATCAATCGCTTATGCAGCATGAGAGTTCTCGCCATATTGCGTTAGTCGAATAAAAAATACAAATCTTTCTTTTTTAATTCATTCATTACTATTTATAACTTTTATTAATATTAATCATTTGGGACTAACACAAATATGTAACTAACATTTAAGATACAAAAGTTGAATTTCAGGTTAAAATAAATATAATCCAATGTGTAACAAATAAAAAGTATAAATATATTATTAATAGAATTAAATTTTATCTTTATTTTAATATTTTGTAATTATTTTAGTGGGATATATTTTTTATGAGGTCAACTTTTATTTTTTCATAGGATCAATACAAGTTTTCTAAAATAAAAAAAAAATATTTTAAAAAATATTGGGGTCAAGCTGATTCCTCTCTTCCTTCACTGCCTCCACCTCTGGATACTACATAATCGATAGAAACATGTCACCACCTATATAGTTCGACTTTACTATTCACTGTACTGTTAGGGCTGTGCCTGAATAATCTGGATCTTTAAACATAAATAAAATTTTGACCTATAAACTATTATTTTTTGAAAAATATGTTCAAACTTCTTTATCTGCAGCTTGAATCCGCAACGGTAGAGTACTAATACAGACTGTTACCAACTGTGCTGTAAGCATTACTTGGATTAAATTTGACCCTTAAAATATATATATATATATATAATTTTTGGTTTCATGCAAGTAGTTGACCAGTTTCTGGTCAAACACGACTATGGGTACTGTTTTGTGATAACCTGTATGAATAGATTATTAGAAGGATTCATATACAAACAAGTTAGTTAATTGTACTATATATTGTGGTGACATTTTCATGGCCGAAATATTCTAGCACATGATTATAATGTTAACAGATTCAATCACTGGAGAAGCTTTGTTTGGCAATATAATGACATCAGTTATAGAAAGTTTGAATTCTTATTTTGTTGTTAGAATTATGCAATACAGAATACAAGCTAACAAACTAACAAACTTCGTCAATTCTCTACCTTTTCCTCTTTTTCTATTTTTCGCTACTATTTTATCCTTTTTATAGGAAATTCAAATGCTTACACAATTTTCGACAAAAGAAGTCAGATATAGTGAAAAAAGGGCACAGATATTTGTCAAATCACCTCTTGGTTTTCAGATACCAGTAATAACCTCCCAGTAGAGTTTCAGATTTCCTCTCACTGTTAAATAACACTAAGAAACAGCTTAGTATCGGCCTTGACCAAAAGGCACTGGGCTTTTAAACATAAATGAGCTTACTTTGACGGAATCAAGAAATTAAAATGGGATTTTGGAGATCATCTAATTGGGCCTTACTGTACCTCCGGATCCAAAATCCCCTTATGCAACCAAATAAGACCCTTGGTAAACCAAGACCCAACAATCAACAAAACTAAAATCCATAACAAATGCACACATATAACTAGAAGACAAATAGTTTGTCTGCACCTTGGTCGATTCCATTGACTTCGAGTATTCGGACCATTTGATTCATACATAAATGAGATTGAGAGCCACGTTGGATCCGCACTCAGACGATCAAAGATTTGAAACATGTGATACCAACCCAAATCATTTTCGTTTCTCAAGGAATATTAAACAAATAAACGAAACAAAGTTCTTCCTTTTATCTTTTTAGGACAAGAAAACTAATATATTTATTCGAAACACTATAAGAAATCGAATGATACAACTAGTTTCGTGGGTGATTAATAATTGAGGCTGCTTTTCTCCAATACTTAGATTTCTTTTCTTCGGTATGTATAGCTATGCAGGAAAACATTGCAAATTGAATAATTATTGTCTGTAGGTCTCATGATGAAGTATGAAAACTATATCGCATGCCAAATTCTAAAAATATAATATGTCTATACATAATTCATTTATATATTCGTTTGCATGCAGCATGCCAAACGCTAATAATGATATATACAATGATGATCGCCACCCAAATTCTAATAATGATAATGCTTTCATTTATATTTAATTTGCATGCAGCTTGTGCAACCCTAATAATGATATATATTCATTTGATATATGTATATTACTATTTTATATACATATATGTGCATTTCGTTGGTATGACCTCATTAGGGCCGTGCCTTAATACAAGCCCATCAAGCATATGTTTCGGGGTCAACAGTGTTAAATACATTTTAGGAATCAATTTATCAAAAGATTAGTTGGTTCAGATGGTTGTGTGGTGCTTCTTTGATCAAATTGGTAGCGGGTTCAATATATATTTATTACCAATTTGTAAAAAATATTATACTAAAGGGCCAATTTTTTTTTTTTTTTGGGTCCTAAAAAGTCAGGCACAACTCTGGACCTCATTCAAATGCATATAATACTATAAAATTTGTCTTAAATCTTTCTTTTTATAAATATCTTGAGTTGTGCAGTGCTCACGAATGGATAAATTGTGGTCAACTTGTAGGTAGATCATATAACTAATTTGTTTGGAAAGCTTGTGCGTTCGAGCTCGGAAGATAATCTTAAGCGCTGTTCGTTTCACCATAATATTCTTTTGATCTTTAAATTACAAGTCATCTAAATCTAGATGAGTTTTATAAATTTTGATTAAGTTTTTAAATCAGTTAGCTGAACCAAACTAAAAAACTTGGATGGAGATATTTATTATACCCATAATATATAATTTGCAAATTACAAATTTAAAGTTATTATCATTTTATTGTCTTACGTAAGAATGAAAAATCCGCAGAAACAAAATTTCGTCAAAATTACCAGAAAAGGTAAAAATGAATTTCCCACCACACCGCAAACACACATTTTCCATTAAAACCGTAAAACATATTATATGCATTAGGTTAGATAAATCCATACGTCCAATTGATCATCCCGAAAAAATCGACAATATTAGTTTTATAGTTGTGATGAATTTTTATATAATTATAAATTTCACTATTAAATGATAGATATTATTTGTTATTTTTGTCAACATGATATTTACCACCCCTCTGTTCATAAAAGATATACTTTTTAATGTTTTCACACATATTAGAAAACACATTAAATCACTATCGTTTTCAATAATTTTTAATTTTCAACAACTTCTAGCTAATAGTAATCTAATAAAACCAATTAATTTTTTTTGAAACTTGTAATTTTCTCATACAAAACATAGAATATACATCTTTTTGAACCAAAAAATTTTCTAGAACATTGATCTTTTAGGAATGGAGGGAGTATTTATAAAAAGTGTATGTTTAGATATTTAAATTTCATTAATTTTTTTTTAACATTTACTTGAATAAAATAATTTATTAAATTATATTGATTCTGCATATTTTTTATCTGAATCACTCATTCGATTTTTAGATTGTTCACTTTCCCTGATTTGTCGAACTAAACGGGTCGTTTTCTTCTCCGGATCCTTCAAGATAGCATCTATTTCTTCCTTGGTGATCGGTGATCCATTACAAGTATTCATCAATTAGGATATCTTTTAGCCTAGGATTCCAAAGTGAGCCATTATTTGAATTTTTCATAGCGATAAATCTCTTGTTCCAATGAAAATGCACTTAGATCAAACAGCTTCACAAAATTAATTATTCAAATTTAATACAAAAGAATTTACTATGTAATAGTAATGATTTGGTATTATTTTAAGTGTTTTATGTGTGTAATAATTATTCAACCCAAAGATAAAATTATACCAAAAAGAGCAAAGATGACAGACTAATGAGTAACTTTGAAGTAAAAACTAGAATAATGTTAAAATAATATACAGACTGTCCCGCGAGACCTAACACTTACAATTTAATTGAATGCAATTTCCACTTTACTTAAACATAGCTATTCAAATAAGTTCATTTTTTGGAAATCAACTTTTCAAATAAGTTGTGTTTGGGGATCAAAATTCACCAAATAAGTTTTAGATAAATTGGAGTAAACTTTCATTCGTTTAATTTTGTTTTAATAGTCAACTTCTACTTCAACATTAATTCAGGGACGTACGTAATGACAACAAATGATAGTATATATTTTAACAATGAAATATTATGCGGAGAAAGCGAAACTAGAACTTGATTAAAAGGAAAAAAATCAATTAATTAACATTAATCGGAGATTAATTAGCGAAGGAGAAAAAGACAGTCCCCATGTTTTAATGTCAGTGGCTCGACTTTCCACGAGGGAAACTTAATAATTTTATACAAAATCTCAGCTCAGACCCAAAATGCTAAACTCTTTTGCCTTCTTCTTTCTTCTCAAATTCTCTCTAGAGGATCCATGAATCCATCCCCTCTCCCTATCTAATCTCCTCTTCTTCTCCGCCGTTCACTCTGTTTCAGAAGCTTCTAGAAGCACATCAATGGCAGAGTTCATCTGTCTATACGGAAAGGTCCTCTCTTTCTACCACTCTCATCTATGTTTTCTGATTTTTTAGCTTCTGGGTATCTCTGCATGCATGTTTTATCAATTGAATCTTCTCTTTTTTCCTTCCTAAGATTTAAACTTGCGATTTTTACAACCCTAGATTTACTTATGAAACTGTTTGATGGAACAGGACAGTGCATCGATTGTAATAAAACAACCAAAGAGATCACCTTTGTTCTTGAGAATGATAGTTTTAGTGTTTGCAATGATCTGTGGTCTCTACATTTGCTCTGTCTGCTTAAAACAGTTTACTTTACAAAGCTCACAACTTGTTCCAAGTCCTATTACTACGCGGATTCATTACCCAAAGCCACAGACTTTCAATAGGTAACTACTATCACTTCTTTTCTTCATGTTCAACTCTTTGTTCTGTTTGTTCAGTTCTTTGTTTGGTCTCTTTAAAAACAGATCTGAATGTGGGCACAACCCGGTGAGGTTCTTTGCGATACTATCAATGCAGAGATCAGGAAGCGGTTGGTTCGAAACATTGTTGAATAGTCATGACAATGTTAGTTCTAACGGAGAGGTCTTCTCTGTTTTGGACCGAAGAAAGAATGTTTCTTCAATCGTTAAGACTCTTGATAGAGTTTATAATCTTGATTGGTTTACAAGCGCTTCAAAGAACGAATGCTCTGCTGCAATTGGATTCAAATGGATGCTTAACCAGGGTTTGTTGGATAACCATGAAGAGATTGTTGATTACTTTAACCGGAGAGGTGTCTCTGCTATATTTTTGTTCAGAAGGAATCCTCTAAGGAGAATGGTTTCTGTGTTGGCTAATTCTTATGACCGTTACGCTAAGCTGTTGAATGGAACTCATAAGTCTCATGTTCATTCTCATGAAGAGGTTTATTATTATTATGTTTTAGTTTTTTTTTTTGGCTTCTTGATTTTTGAATGGTTTCTTGATCCTTTTGGTTCATTATATTGCAGGCAGATGCACTTTCTAGGTACAAGCCGGTACTCAACTCAACGTCTTTGATCCATGATTTACAAGAAACAGAGAGTTTAGCTGCAAAGGCTTTAGAGTATTTCAATACTACTCGTCATATGGTTGTCTTCTATGAAGATCTTATAACAAATCGGACGGTGAGGTTTCATAACAATCACAAATTAAAAACTTTCAGAGCTAGGTTATATATTTTGCTTAACTTCTTTGGTGGGTTTGATGCAGAGACTGGAACAAGTTCAAGAGTTTTTGAACATTCCTGTGAAGAATTTGTCAAGCAGACAGGTGAAGATACACAGAGGAAACTTGTCAGATCACATCAAGAACTGGGAAGATATAAACAAGACATTGAATGGGACTGAGTATGAGAAGTTTCTACGAGCAGATTACTAGTTTTTTTGAAAACTATGTAGTAAAGACACTCTTTCTTCTACGTTCAGTTAAAGGTTTTGCAGAATGCAAAATAGGGTCTTTCTTGTTTTGAAACTTCAGTATTCTCAACTTGTTGTATAGTAACTGGAAGATGTATTTGCTTTTTGATTAATTGCTCCCTTTTAGATGTCAACTAAGTCGCTTTGTGCAAAATCATTCTTTGATGTTCTTAAAAACTCTAGTTGAAGATGTATATTTTGTGTCAGTTCGTGAAGTACTACAGGAGGTAGTACATGCGTGTATCATGAAGTTGGGCTAAGTTGAAGTTCGTGTTTTGTGATGTCCGTGGGCTTGCTAAGTTTGGAGAAGAGATAATATAGTTACTGGAATATTTACATTAAGTGTAAATGATATTACTTGAAGAGGAAAAGGCAAGAGAGTTATTCCTTAAGAGAAAAAGGAAAGTTGCTTAAGTTGCTTTTGGAAGAACTTGAGGAGCAAGTTCTAGTTAACTATACAAGGAGGACGTGCCTCCATTGAGAAAGGTGTCTCTGCTAACAATAAGAAAAGTTGAGAGATCGTTTTGGTGTTGCTTGTGTGATCAAGCCTTTGGTGTCATTGCTGTGCGTTAGTTGCTGACGTACTTGGTGAAGTACTTCCGGAGTTCTGGAAGATTGAAGCCTAGACTCAGGGGGAGTTTAGCTCGGGGTTTGGAAGATCCTGATAAACAAAAGTCTAGACTCTAGGGTGAGTTTTAGCTTAGGATTGGTCTAATCCTAAAGGATTCTTGTAATAGAAAAGATTGGTGTAAGACTTTCTTGTTCTAGTGAATTCGAAAAGAGAAAACGTGTCTTTTACTTTCTGCATTTTATTTGCTCTGCTCTCACTACATCAACAATTGGTATCAGAGCGGGTCACCTAACTTACTGGTGAGATCTTGAAGGGTGAGGACAGAAACTGGTTCAGGAAGAAGGACAGAGTTTATGATGGCAGCATATCAAGAGGGAACGTCTATGACAAAACCCCCACGTCTTGATTCATCCAATTATGGATATTGGAAGGTGCGGATGCAAGCTTTTATCAGTGGTATTGATGAAGACTGTTGGAGTTCTATTGAGGATGGTTGAAGTCATCCAGTGATGCTTAATGATGAGAAGGTTGAAGTTTTGAAGCCAAGAGATCAGTGGACTGCTGAAGAGAAGAAGGCTTCAAGTTGCAATTCTAAGGCTAAGACTGCGATTTACAATGCTATTGATGCAAGCTATTTTAAGTTGATTTCTCAATGTGCTTCAGCTCAGAAGGCATGGAAGACATTGGAGAATATGTTTGAAGGTACTACAAGTGTCAAGCGTACCAAGCTGGATATGTTAGCATCAAAGTTTGAGAATCTGAGGATGGATGAAGAGGAAACCGTGGCTC